CTACGTCATGGTTCGTTTCCGACAATTTGTGGCACAGACAAACTCGACGTGCGCGGGTTGCAAATTGTCGGAAATTAGGGAGATTTCCGGGCGTTTACGGGGACGAAAATCTCACTTTTCATGCAGTGTATATCCAAGTCTTAGGCAATGAATTCGTCTGTAGTGACATTGTTACGTCCCCAAAAATCTGGGTTCTTATAATGATTCCAATTCGGGGATGACTTGTAGTTGCGCGTGTGTGTGTTTTTTCCAGATAGGATTGGGACCCGGAGCTCCACCCCCCCCCCCTCGTCAGTGGTTGCAGCTGGCTGGGCTCTTTAAAAAGCCCAGTTTTGGACCAGTTCAGGCGCTGCATGCTCGCTGCATATTCACACATGTTGCCTTTGGTTTGTACCCTGTGTGAGGCGATATTCAGTTGTGTTTAGTGTTAGATAACTTGTGTTCCTTTTGGAAACATGTAGCAGCAGAAGAGAGCAATTGTTTGTTTGGGTCATTTGACTAATTATTTGTTTTCTCTTTTGTTCACAGGGAGTGGGGAGTAGATTTAGAGCTACCCCGGGGTATACATCACCCGTAGGTTTACTTCTCTGTCTAGAAACACCAGTTTAGACCTGAGCGGACCACCACCTGTAAGTTTGGTTAGGGCGCCTTGACCGTGTGCCAGGTAGAGTGTTTTCAATTGGGGGTTAGTACAGGTTAGGGGTGGGGACCTTTTTGTTTATTTCTTTGTTTTGGTCCGGCCAGCCCTCCCCTTTTCCCAGAAAGTTATTGTTTATTTGTGTATTCATTTTGTTAGATAAAAGCGTTATACTGTATTTGGTGTTTGTCCTTCTCTCGCACCGCGACTCCATACCCCTTTTGCTGGCACCGGTGGGCCGGAGCAGTGGGTTGTCATGTTCCCCTCCCTTTTGGGAGCTGGAACATAACAGACATGATGACTGTCCACTAAAATTAAACGTGAAATCTCACCATATCCTTTGTGTTTACAGGTTTACCGTTTTTCCTGAAAAGTCCCCAAATGAACAACTCTGAACATCATACATATTTTTATATTAATTTCAAACTTTTCAAAATTAAATAAAAATGTGTATTTATTGTAAATGACCTCTCGCGGCCCACCTGCAGTACCTTCGTGGCCCACGCTGACCACACTTGCTGAACACACTGTAGAGAATAGCTTTGAACTTGGTTCAGATGTATACTTGCTAATGTAGTAAGTAAATGTAATCAATCATTTCAGTTTTAAGTTAAGTTCAAGTTTTAATCTAGTGGAAATTAAATAACAGTATGAAGATTTAGTGACAGGTTTTCTTTAATTAAGGTTTTCACATAAATATATCCTATCCCTGCATCTATGCCCAACTGCCCATGTGCCTGCACTTTTAAGCCACTTGTTAAGATGTCATCAGCCCTCCAGACCTACTGAACTGACCACACTTAAATTCATCATAAGGGTTGTTCAATGAGTGACTTAAAGCCTGGAAAACTGCAGTTAGAAAAAGGAAATGCTGTGTATAGATCAAACAAGACAAGGTTGACTCTCAGTTCAGAAACAAAGTCAGGTATTCTGGAAAAGGTAGCAGAAGATAGTCCAAAGCTCCAGAAGATTCATTGCCAGAAAAAAAAGTTAAGACACCTGGGAGAGGAGAGGCCAACCACATACCTAAATACCAACTGGAGGACCCCAGACAAATTAGAAAAGGAGACTGTCACTTTTAAGTGAAGTAAAGAAGCAAAATTATTGTGCAGTGATAAAGGACAAAATGGCCAAGACAAGAAATCGTGGGAAAGGAAATATGAGTTGAAAGAGAAATGGCCTGCATTGTTCTCAATGGATAAGGCTAGTAACTTTTGTATCAATGGCAATAAGTCAGTGATTGCTTATGTAGCCCTGTGGGAAAAGTGTGTGGGGTCTGAGATGATGGTGTTTGGTGGTTGTTTACCCTCATGTGACGTACCCTATCCTGTTTGTTTAAAAAAAAATAACACAACCCCGCGAGAAAAGACGCGGGACGACTGTCCCACGCAGACCTTGCCAACACCTTGAGGACAACGAGTGGGGTGTTTTTTTTCGTTGGCGCTTTAGCGCGAAGCCACCGTTTTTTGTCTCCAAGGACCCATTCGCCCATCCATCTGCAAACAGGCCTGCAACGTAAGCGGACAAATATTTGGGTACCCACACTCGTATATATATATATATATAAACATTATTAACCTGCCGGCTTATTGTGTGTACTTGTTCATCGTTCTTCCCATTTACATTATATCCCAAGTAAATGTTTTATTACTGTATTTGGTGTCGGGCTGTTTGTGTGTTGAAAAGTGTTTAAATATATGGTTAGCAGATAGTAGTAGTCACCTAGCATTAATTAGGGAGAAACGGTTAGGAATTCGGGCAGCGCACTCCACTCAAATGGCCAGGACTGTCAGGGATGCGTGGGGGAGGCAGGACTCAAACGCAGACCTCACGGAAAACAAAAGACTTTAATAGTCGAAAGGCAAAAACCCACAGGAACCAGGGGAAAAACAGCAGGCGGGAGACTACAGACATCCACGACAATGACGCGACAAGTGACACAAGAGACACACGGCTTAAATACACAAGGGAGGTGCAGGCGATTGGACACAGGTGGAAACTACGATCACAGGGGATGACGGGACAAGGCAGGAAGTGAAGTTACCCGGGGACACGAGTGGCAGAAAACTACAAAATACAACAGGAAGTGAACCACACCGTGACAGTACCCCCCCCCTTAAGGGCCGAATTCCAGACGGCTCAAACTAGCGCGAACAAGGGGTGGGGGGGAGGGAAACCCGAGACGTTGGTCGGACCACCCGGGAAACTCTGGCGGGCGGCCCGGCGGGCGACCGGGGAGCCTCTGGGGGTCGGCCTGGCGGACAGGTACACTGCCGGGGAGCCTCCGGTGGTCGGCCCGGCGGACGGTCATTTGACCGGCTCCGGAGCGGCGACTGCAGGGCACGGAACGTCTCTGGAATGGCAGGCTCTGAGACACGGGAAACCTCCGGGGTAGTCGCCGGCGGCTCGGGGACACGGGAAACCTCCGGGGTAGTCGGCGGCAGCTCGGGGACACCTCCGGGGTAGTCGGCGGCAGCTCGGGGACACCTCCGGGGTAGTCGGCGGCAGCTCGGGGACACCTCCGGGGTAGTCGCGCGCGCAGACTGCGGGGACACCTCCGGGGTAGTCGGCGGCAGCTCGGG